CACGCGCACCGCGATCGCGTGGTCCATGGCACCTCGCGCGTTGTCGCGGGCGAAAATATGCGCCCAATGAGCACTCGGGAGAACATCGAGGGCCGGGACATAGGGCAAGCCCAGTGCCTCGAGATCGTCGACGTCGCGGGCACTTGGTACATAGACTTGGCGCATTTCAAGGCGAGCGAGCAGATTCTGAGCCGTCTGTTGAATGTAAGGTGGGATAGCTGGGGGCGGCACCCGGCGGAGGACCGCGTAGTAGGCTTCGAGAGGGTCGTTGTTGCTGAAGCGCTTGGTCGTGCGGCCTGTTGTTGCGCAGTGGAGCCGTCGCGCCCGGGCGTAGACAAGGTCGCCCGAAGCGAACGAGGTGAAGCGCGTCTCGTCCATGGTTGATTGTGTAGTGAATCCTACAACAACGGTCGGGGGCACTCGCACCATCATTCACAAATCGCCCTCAAGACTTATCTGCCGAAGGAATGATTCTTTCATGAGGCTTTCCTTAGATCGAAGCATCGAGAACAAAGTGGTGTCCGTCGACAGGGACCATCGACCCTGCAATATTCACCAGAAGTTATGTGACAATCTTCAAAATGCGACCCGTAATAACGTGTTGGGTGCTCGTTGCTCGACTGTCCCTTCTCTAATCAAATCGCTACTCGTGAGAACTACAACGCATGGTAGCCTCGTTGTCCGATCCAATGTCTCTTCGAAAAATAACACTTGGGAAGCCCACTAGGCTCGACGCACCGCTGAAAGAACCCTTCTTAGTTCATTCTACAGATTTGGTCGTGTGGCGAAGAAAAACTCAAATGACATTTGCCCAAGGACAACATTGTCATCGGGGTGGTGGTGATATGCATATTGCAAAACACTCTAGTCTGTGACGCAATGGAGCCAAAGAGCGACTGACTGTAAATAAGGTAGAGAACTTAGTTAGCTAATCGCACACATAGCCTGAGGCATGGGCGTCGGTGTTGCGACCACGTCGGCACAGAGGTCGTATTCGTCGTCGCTGCCGTTCGTTTCAAGGTTGCATTCCTCCTCGTCGTTGTAGTTGTTGTTGGCATCCCACATGTCGTCGAGGGCATCTGCGTTCGCCGCGATGTCGTCTTCATAGTCACTGCACCAGTTGGTCTTGAGAGGGCGCTTGCCACAACCCCAGTCATGCGTTCGTCGACGATCCAGCCGACAACTATTGCCAAAGCTGCAGTCGCCGTGGGTCTCAGACTTGTGGATGCGTCGGCAAAACTGCTTGGCTGCGGCGGCGGCTTCCGCTGCATAGTCTGTTGAATCCCTGTTCGCCGCCAGCTCTTGCAGTGTGCATCGGACCCGGGTCGTGACGCGGTGCAGTAGCATCCCTGGAAGGCCGACAATGCGCATGGCCTCGCGCTCGCACTGCAATTGTCGCAGCTTCTTGCTCAATCGCACTGCCACCTTGTGCGCGCTCGGGCTGCGCAAACCGTCGCGGGCCAGAATTTGCTCGATTTGATGCTGTGGCAACGCTTCGAGGGACAACACGCGTGGAAGACCCAGCGTCTTGAGGTCGTCGAGATCGCGGTCATCGGGCAAGTAGACTTTGTGGTTCTCAAGCCGCGCCAGAAGGTCGCGGGCAGTGTCTTTGATGAACGGCGCGACGACCGGTGGCGGCGTCCGGCGCATGGTCGCGAGGTAGTCTTCGAGTGCCCAGTTGCTCACAAAGCGCTTGGTCGTACGGCCGGTCGTCGCGCGGTGGAGGCGGCGCGCACGAGCGTACACAATGTCGCCGCTGATAAACTTGGTGAAGCCTGCCTCCTCCATCAATGTTTAGCAAATGCGTTGTGGTGCTGCGTGCGATCCAAAACCATCACTCATGATAAAAAGACCTTCACTTTCACGATCCAACAACCAACAGCAAACTGGGCAACCAACAGCCGCGACGTGGAACGTGTATTTGTATTCAAAAGAAACTAAAGTGGATTCGACAGGAGCTATTGTGAGGGCGCATATGACGCGATTTACCGAGGTATACAAACTATCTTTTGGATACCCTTTTGATCGAGTGCAGTCCGATACGGTGTGCTGGTATATCGGCATGCTGCACTGCTCTTGCAGTTGTACTGGTGGGCTAGATTTTGTGTAAGGAATCTGCCAGCATCACGTCCAGTCGTCGAGCAATGACGACGGTCGAGGACCACACCCTACATAAGCTCAACTGAAATGTACCAGAATAAATTAAGTAATTGTGCACGACGTGGGAGGCGTCGGTAGTGGCTCGACGTCGGTGCAAAGATCGTAGTCGTCGTCGTCCGAGTCGCTGTCGCTCGGCTGCCCGAGACACCAGCATTTCGTGTAATAGTACACGACGGCATCCGCACACTGGTCGTAATATGCGTCCATGGCACCGGCTTGGTCATCTTCAAAATCACTGTAGTAGTTGATGTTGCGGTTGCGCTTGCGATTGCCGGACGCGCGTTCGTGGTCGCGCCGACACTGGCGCCGGCAACTGGCGCTAAAGCACGGACCGCCGTGGCTTTGGCACTTGTGGATACGCCGCAAGAGGTCTTTGGCCGACTTGGCCGCTTCGGCTGCATAGTCGGTCGTGTCGGCATCGGCGGCTGCGGTCTCCAAGCGACCTCGGAACGGGGCCACTTGGTACAGAAACAAGCCAGGAATGCCGACAATTCGCATGGCCTCGCGTTCGTAGACCAGTCGCCGCAGCGCCTTGCTCAAGCGCACGGCCACCTTGTGGGCGCTTGGGCAGCGTGAGCCGTCGCGGGTCAAAATCTGATCAATGTGATGACGTGGCAGCTGGTCTAGCGATGACACGCGGGGAAGACCCAGAGCTTCCAGATCGTCGAGGTCGCGGGCGTTGGGGAAGTAGATTTGGTTCTTCTCGAGTCGCGCAAGGAGATCGTGGGCGGTGGCTTTGATGTACGGCGCAACGACCGGCGGCGGCGTCCGGCGCATCTCCTCGTAGGAGCATTCAATGTCGTATCCCGGCTCGAGAAAGCGCTTGGTCGTGCGGCCCGAGGTCGCGCGATACAAGCGGCGCGCCCGCGCGTACACCGTGTTGCCATCGATAAACTTGGTAAAGCCGGCTTCGTCCTGAAACATGATGATGGCAGTTCGATGGGGACAATTGAAGAATGCTAGACACTCCCAAAATGTTCTGAAGAGAACCATCACTCACGAAAGGGCCGAGCTTCGAGCACAACCGCACGTTGCTCCGTGCAACTGCACACTATTCAGCCTGGGCAACATCTGTTGGCGACCTATCCGGATACTCTCGGTCGCGAGTGGTGAACCCACATGAGCATGCACGAAAGGCGATGCCAACGAATGTCATCACAAGGCACGAAGGCAACCGACCGCCTTTAGTCCCGTCGGCGGATTCCTTCTTTGTACGCAGAACGTGCGAATCATTTGGATCCGCAGGTGTTGTCACTCCGTCTCTGTTTGTTCGGATATTGGCCACGATGGTTTTGTCTCTGTCACCCACACTTGCACTTGCACGATCTGCCTTCCATGCAGCCAATTGTGTGAGCTCTTTATTCTACATCCCGGGTAACGACAGACGAGCGCGATGGTCATGGTCCAGCGATCGAGTTGAGTAAGCGATGGCTGGTCTCTACGTCTTCAAAGTCTTTGAAACTCCAAAGAGTAACAGAAGGATTAACGCGAAACCCACTCTTATTCACATGATTATTATTGTATTGAGTGGTGTGGATCAAAGTCGTCGCAAAAGTCGTAGTCGTCATCCATTGGGGAACCATTCTCAATGCGCGCTACACCTTCATGCCATGTCGCGGTCGCTTCTTCGTCTTCTGCAGCAGCCGCAGCGAGGTCGTTGGCTGCATCGGTGT